GTCTGAAGGATCACTAAAGGGATGAGAAGCTTTAGCTGTTGCCACAAGAGTAGTAGTTTTGGAATGTTGAACATGTCAAGAATGGGTGGAATTTCTCGGCAGAAATATTAAGTGATTTGGTGAGAAAATGAGGGAACTGGCCATATAAGGGCAGGAAGAACCAGAAAAGGAAAAACATGAATGATATTTTGACTTACTTTGCAAGTTTTCCAAGAACTTGCTTTAATGGAGAAATAGGGTTTTAAGCAGGAGATTAGTTGAGATCTCAGCTTTGCCTTTTACTTTCTGTGAAACATTGGTGAGTTTACTTCACCTTCTTGACCCTTGGTTTCTTCATCTCTGAAATGGGTTCAGTAACAATATCTAGCTCATAGAGTTAATTGCAAGAATTAAATAATAGAATTTATATAGGAGTTTAGGTATTCAACTAAGAAAAAGTGTAATCTTGCCCCAAGTAAACCAAAATACCTTCCAAAAAGCCAGTAGTTTTAATGTGCTAAAATTTCAAAGATAAGATCTTTCTGCAGTGGTAGGTTTTGAGCATGTACCTAATTTCTTGCCAGTTTTTGCAGTTATTGATTGCATGCCAAATATATGTATCCCTTAGGGCATAGTAGGTATCTAAATAAATACTGAATGAAAATTTTGAAGTGATCATAATGGTCTTAGCAGCTTTGTTTCCAAGCACTAGCATAGGAAGAAAAGAGAAGTTTATTTTTACCTCTTTCCATGCATCAGCCTCAGCCTAGCTGGGTCAGGCTTATTTCCCAAGTAATTAGTGATGTTCACTTCTTTTTTGTAAAGCAGAGCAATTCAACAGGATGATGAGGGGAAATAATTTCATTTCTGGATACTAATTCCAGTAGCAGATGTTTTCTGCTAACAGAAATATGCCTGTGCTAACAACTTTACACTTCCATCAAAAATATTGCACCATGGTGCACACTAAGCTGTTTAAGGACAAATGTGTGGTGTTTGTTTTCTTTCAGGAGACACAGAAACATTAATCAGAATTGATTCATTCTGTTTTTCCATACATTTCTACGTACACTTCTGGTGACTTTCCTAGCTGAATGGCCAGTTTCTATTTTGGGTGGCAGAGCATTATGTCAGAGAGATAATATCTTCATCACGTGTGTTTGTGGAATGTACCCAGAGCTTCCCTCATTGAAACAAGGCTTTCTGGAGCCTTGGCTAGGTCCTTGGTGCACCCTCTTGAGCTTAGGCCCCAGGGCTCCCCAGCACCAGGCATGTAGGTACATGGTCAGGTCTGTTTCCCATAGCTGCTTATGGCATGGACCATGTTTTTCAGATGTGCTTGGAATGTTGTAGAGGCTCAATAAATATCTGTCAATGATTAAATGAGTAGGAATTTTAAATTGACTTCTCATTTCATCAATTATGAAAGTAAGTACTGAAGGGAGAATCAAACAACCTGAGAAGATATTAAAATAAAAGTTCATCTTTGGAACTTTTGCTCTATTTACTTCTAACCCTTACTCTTCTCAGGAGGAGAAGTTCTCATGTGTCGGGGCATCCAGCTGTTTCCTGAGGTGAATCATATCGCTCTCTTTCCAAGTTGTGTTGCATTGAAGCAGAAGAGGAATGGGGGCTCTGATCCGTTCAAACTGCTTTTAAAGACTTCCCTTACAGACAGAACAGGAGATAGTATATGTAAGGTACTTGGAATGCAGTCATTCATTTGATAAATACTCATTGAGTACCTACTGTATGCCAGGCACATTTTACTAAGAAAAATGTGTCCCTTAGTGGGAAGAAAGACAAGAAGCAAATAAGCAATGGTAAGAGCCAGGAAGAACAATACAGTAGGATGTCAGATGATGGAAGTCATAGGGAGGGTGATCAGGCCAGGAACTGCGTCTTCTGAGGAGGTCCTGATGGATGGGAGACCTGAAGGGGGTGAGGGAGTGAGGCAGGGAGATCTCAGAGGGAATGCAGGAATGTGTGAGCAGTGGTCCCCTCCCCAGCTAAGGGAGCTGAAGTCACAGAAGAGCCTGTATGCAGTACCCGGAGGGCATGGTACAGACAGGAGTTTTTATTCTGAGTGGAATAGGAATCAGTAGCAGGGACTCAAGAACTAGATGTTTCTTGAGTTTTTCTTCTTTTTTTTTTCCCCGCTTTTTCTCTCCAGTTCTTAAACAATATGAAAGCATTTTTTAAAAAAACTATTCCACTGTGATAGAGCCCAGGGCAAGTCATTTAGTTTTACTTTGATTTTAGTCTGCTGAAACCCCAGGAAAGATTATACTTTCTTTAATCAATATACCTATAAATTAGTACTAAATGTCTAGAAAGTGCTTTGGATTTTGGAAACTTATACAGACATCTGGAATTACTGTTATTACAGTAGTGATTTCTGTGCTTCTGATGCCTTGGTCCTTGGACTTTGGTTGAATATACCACTCCCCTTTCTGGTATTCCTGGGCTCAGCACTGGGTATGTCATCTGCTTAGACAGTCAAAAATTGTGTTTTTTGCTTCTCAAATCACATTTGGGGTGATAGGTCATTTGTCAAATGTCTCACTGGCAGTTCAGTTTGGGGAAGAACACTATGTATAGGCAAGATGTGTCTGTGTCAGATGAGATCCAGTGGACTTGACAGACTTCTGAGGGAATAAATATCATATGTCATAGCCATTGAAGTTGTGGGTCAATCATGGAATGACTAAAATTGTATAAAACTCTTATCATCAGAAGCTTTCCAGCAGACTCCTTTGAAATAATCCATACTTAGAAATGAGAGGTGAATGATGCTACTTAATTTGCCTGAATGCACTTAATGCTGAGCTGAGTGGTTTTTCCTTTCTTTAAAATTTTATATCTATTACTTGATTGTATCCGTTGGTAGTGTTGCTCAGAAACACCAGAGAAACGTAGATTTGGGAAAAATAAGAAATCATTGAGTTAACCTGTTCAAATGTGAGTAGTGTCTAAAAATTCTTAAATTTTTCAAAGACAGAGATTTCTCTACTTAAGAAATCTGATAACTATTACTATGTTCATCATAATCAACTTAAGCTTGGGAAGTTCTTCCTTATGTCTGGCCCAAATCTTTTTCTACAGTTTGAGTGCATTTCTTTTCGTCTGTGCAAATGGAAAACAGCTGCCCAACCTTCCCCAATAACAGCCTTGGTATACTTGAAAATGGTTATTAAGTCACCCCCTAGCCTTCTTTCCTCTGGACTAAGTAATGCCTTTAACTCATCTTCAAAGTTTCCATTTTCCATCCCTTTAATCATTTCTTGATCTCTCTAAGCTTTTGTATATCCTTCTTTAAATGTGGATCCCAAAATTGGAACATAATACTGTAACAAGAGTTCTCACCATTAACTGGGGTCTCTACCTTTTCAGGCAGTTGTTTGTCATTGTCATTCGTATGGGAAATCTGGGCGATTTTATCAGCATCCAAAAAGATGAGATGTAGGACTAACAGTTTCTTTCACAGTGGACTGGACCAAGGTTTGTGGCTGCAGATGCTGATTTTGGAGTCTGAGGCCTTTATCAACCCAAACTCAGGTCTGTTCCTAGGAAAATTTGCAGGTCCACAAGCTCCTTCTGGGTTTGGTGACTAGTTCTGTAGTACAGGTATCCTTTTCCAAGCACTCTTTCCTCTTAGGCAAAATTTTCCTGTACTTTACTTCTACTTCTATTTCTAAATCAAAGGTATATGCAGTGAACACAAAATCTCTTGGGTCTCTCACTTCCTCCCCCGAGACAGTTTGCTTTGGACCAGATAGCTAAGGGACAAGGGGCATTGTTTGCCATGTCTAATCTCATGGAAATCACAGAGGGAAAAATATCTCAAAAATGATCCAGAGAGCACAGGAAGGTGAACAGAAACTAATTGTCCAGTGCCATTATATAGAAAGAGGGGCAGCATTGTATTTGTCTTGATCATAATCATGCCATCTCTTTGTTTGGGGCTTTGACTGGTCACTGATGTGATTTTTCTCTAACCTGTCCTCCTCTCTTTTCTCTAAAAATTTAAATTCCTCTGGTGGAAATGCTCCTGGCATGGGAATTTTCAGAATCATGCCTATCAATTGAGCCAGGCATACAGGTCCAAGTAAAGAGATATGTTGCTTACTTCCGCAGGCTTCTCATGTTCAACCAAACTGTCCAGGCACTCAGAATTTCACTCTTGCAAGAAGCAGAGATCCTGGGATCAGCCATTGGCCAGCACATAACCTTGGACAAGTACAGGCAGGAAGGCAGGAAAGAGTTTTGACTGGAATGATTATGTGGCAAGACTCCCTAAGATAACATAACTATCTAGACACTAGTGGGTCTGTTTTATATGTGTGACTGAGAGATTTGCTAGTAAGTGATATGAAATTCTTACATTTTTCCTTCTCTGCAGATATTGGGGCTCATTAAGTAATGCCTCACAGGTAGTAATTGTCCTTGTATTTGAGAGAAGTAATGTAAATTTTGTATTGTAACCAAAATTTATGGATATCTGGGACATCAGGTTCAAGATAATTGATCACTGGGGTCGTTTTGAATGAATAGATGAAATATAGCTCCGCTACATTTTGTAGTAAGATACAGTATTGAAAGTGTCAGCTGTTTGTGCTTGGATATGTGTAGGTTCCAGAAAGGTGCATTTTTCATGGGCCATGCTACTCTTTGTTGGAAGTGAGGTGGGTTATTCTCAGTTCCATTCATGCACAATTAAAAGACATTTAGTAGGACATCCAAATTTATTTCCTCCTTTAATGAGATTCCGAATTTCAATGGGGTACATAAGACATTACCAAATTTACCAGCTTATATTTGAGGACAGAAATATACAGATCTGGTGTCTTCTTGCAGTAAACTTGGAGCAATGTCCAAATGTCTGTTTTCATCATTGCTAAAAATGTATTCTCGTATCGCTGAGCAGGCCTTGTGAACCATATGCTTGCCCCATGGAGCGCTAAACCTGCAAGCGAGAGGGTAGTGCTGTACATAACTTCGCTATTTTCTCTTTTTTCTAGTCTAACAGGCAACCAGCTAAGTTGAACCTTCTCACATGCCAGGTGAAACCAAATGCCGAGGACAAGAAGTCTTTTGACCTGATATCACGTGAGTCCTTTTTCTCTCTGAGTCAGGTACTGTGGATTCTGACACCTGCACGTTTCCTTTCTCTTGGTATTGAAGTAGCAGCTTTTCCAAGCAGGTCTCCTCAGAGTCAGCCCTTGAACAGTTTTTTGTTATTCCTATATGTACAACTTTAGGAAGATCCCTCAGGTCCCTTAATTTGCACTGAGCCCACCTGCAGTTGGGAGGGCATAATAGTGTCTGATCTGACCAACTATAGAATGGAATCTAGATTTGTACATTCATCTCAACTAGTGCTTGACTGTGAGTACACAGCTTCATCCCCTTGGAGAGATTTTTCTAAGTATATTTCCATTTCTGTCCTAGATCTGCTAAATCACAGACTTTGGAGTGAGGCCCAGACATTGTTTGTTTGTTTGTTTTAAGCCCCTAGGTGAACCTGATGTGCTTCTATGATGAAGAAGCACCTATGTAGACTTGGGAATGCAGGTATGCCAATATAATTGTACAAGTAATTTGCCCAGAGTTATATCTCTGCAAAATCAGCCTCTTAAAGGAAAAATTATTTACTTGCTCCAAGCAGAACTGCCTTCAAACTCATCAATTGGTGGCACTGCATTCCATCCCTCTCCTACTTTACAGTTCAGAGTTTGCTTTTCTCTTGTGATGAGAGAGCATAATGAGCCGCCTACCCACAACCCACTGCCTGTATTCTCAGTGTATAGAGAGTAGGGAGAGATGGTTTTCCTGCAGCTGGCTCCCTGTGCTTGTGCTGGTTCCTGTGGGTGCACTTACTGACTCACACTGTAGCTGAAGAGACAGCTCTTTGTAAAGGAAGAGGATGGCAGTGCCGATGAAGTGACTCTCACAACTATTCTGAAATCCTGCAACACTAAGCCTAAGTATTCTTCTCTATCAGAGCCTAGCAAGGCAGGCCAGCAGCTGAAGTGCAAAATCTTTGTGTAGAAGCACAAAATACTTATCTGCTCCTTGAAATCCTTTTGATGCAGTTGTGTGAATGGAAGCTTAAATACAGTCCTTACCCAAAAGACTGAATCAGTCATGAGCCTCTTTAGATGGAGTCTAAGCTAGATTCTGCAGCATCTATATGAAGTTTAGGTTCCCCACGATTTTCATGACCAAGTGATTGCTTAGGTTATTGAGAAAGAAATATGAAAAATTGGAATCATAATATGATTTCAAAAAGCCAAGAACCCCTAGGTTTGAGAACCTGTAGGTTATCAATAATAGTTGTCAGTTGTAGAGCATCTAATATATGCCAGGTGTTTTATATACTTTATTACTAATCCTCCCAAAAAGCCCTACCAGTTTCCCATTTTACAGAAGAAATAACTGAGGTTCAGAAAAGTTCGATGACTTACACATGGTCATAGAACAATAAAGCAAGCATTCAACCAAGGCTCTCAGGTGCTCTGACCCATGGCATGTTCTCTGACATACACATTGTCTCTCTCTCTCTCCCCCTCTCTCCCAGGAAGATGAGAGGTGTGAGTACCTATCCTGGAGCAGTTATACAGGAAGTGCTCAGTAAATGTTAGTTTGACCTGAATATGTTGAAGCATTCTTACAAATTCTGAATTTTAAGAAAAAGCTTCTTTCATTTACACCTGCCCAAAGTGTCCAAGTTAGGCCACTCCCCTCCTTACGTGGATAGCAGAGGCTGAGCTTCCTCATAGCCTGATTGAGCCAGAGTGCTGCTCCAACATCTGGAGCAGAGTATACCTGTGTGTCAGAGCTGCCCTGTGTGTTCAGTCTCAGAGTGAACAGGGGAACAGTGAATGAATCGTTTCTGAAAAGGAGATTTTTTTTTTTTTTTTTTTTTTTTTTTTAAAGGAAACACAATAAAAGTCATTAAAAGTGAAAAAATACTGAATTGGCCGTCGGTACTCTCCAGTTTGTCACTGAAATCTATTTGGATCAGATAGGACTTTTTCCGCTTCTCACTTTTTTTTTCAAAAGAGGTGCCAGATGTTTGCATGATATTTGTGGTTATTTTATTGTATTCCTATTGCACTTAAGAAAAATTTGGGCCGGCCCGTGGCTCACTTGGGAGAGTGCGGTGCTGATAACACCAAGGCCACGGGTTCGGATCCTATATAGGGATGGCCGGTTTGCTCACTGGCTGAGCGTGGTGCTGACAACACCAAGCCAAGGGTTGAGATCCCCTTACCGGTCATCTTTAAAAAACAAAAACAAAACAAAAAGAAAAATTATATTGACAAAGTCAACTGTGCAGCTGCTAAAACATAATTATGTAAAACTAAAATAATATTAAAATCTTACTTTTACTGTGTATTCCCCCCCGCCCCTGGAAGTTTTAAAAATATGTGTTATGCCTGAAGGTACTCTGATTTCTAAGGTTTCACTTTTTTTCTTTTTTGTATTTTAGATAATAGGACATATCACTTTCAGGCAGAAGATGAGCAGGATTATGTAGCGTAAGTAGTTTTGCATAAATGTACCATACCTTGGATTGAAGAAGCACCTCTCCCCTGTACAACAGTATGCCAAACCATTTTCATTAGTAAGAACTATGCTGGTGGCTCCCCAGGCTTCTTTCTCGCCTCTGGGCCATCATGTTGCTCTTCTCTGTGTCTGGAGTTTTCAGTCTTGCCTACTCAGTATACTCTCATACTGCTGCAGATTCTGCCCAAGCCTCACTATCCCTGGGGGTATTGCTCCCTCCTCTCTGCCTGCAGCCTCTTCAACACCCCTCTGCTATCCTCTGTGCATGTCTGCAGCCGTCTAGAGACTAAAAGCTTCTTGAGGGGAAGGACTGTGCTTTACTCATCCTTTAATCACATCACCTGCACTTAGGAGGGGTTTAACATTTGGTGGCCAAATGCATGAGCCAGTCCACCTGGATACTTGGCTGTTATTGAGAGAGAAACAGGAGAAGCTGGCTCTGAAGGAAGAGTACTGGCAGGTACCTTTCGCTGGAGTGAACATGGCTCAGTTGAAAGAGCCTGGTGTAGTGGGAAGAACCAGGTTTGGTATCACATACTCCTGTGTTGGAATCTGCCCTCAGCTGACCAGGTATCCTGACCAGGTATGAAACTCTCAGAAAAAAAAGACATAGATGAAAAATTCCTCAACACCATAAAGTGTTTCTATGAAAAATACCCAGCTAACATCATAAATAATGGTGAAAACGGAAAGCTTTCTTCCTAAGATCAGAAACAAGACGAGGCTGCCTGCTTGTACCACAGCTATTTAGCATTACACTCTAACCTCTAGCCAAAGGTATTATAGAAGAAAGATCTATAAAAAACATGTAAACAAAAAAAAAAAAAAAAAAAAAAGCGGAAAACATTTATCCCTGGTCCTGAGCTGTCTTCATTCCTTCTTCCTTCCTGTAACCTTCCTAGTCTGAAAAAGGCAGCATTTAACTATTACATTTTCAGCTGTTTGTGAGAGATATTTATATTAAAGTGGACAATTAAACCTTTTTGTAGTGTTCAAGTTTTTCTTATTCCTAACCAGTCCTTGAGGTAATTTGGCACAAGTTTCATGAACTATCAAAGCTTCTGTCCCATCAGTGGCACACAGTAAATGGTATTTTCCTTCCTTAATTATTTCTTTTTTTTTTCTTTTTTCTTCCTTAAAAGATGACCAGTAAGGGGATCTTAACCCTTGACCTGGTGTTGTCAGCACCACGCTCTCCCAAGTGAGCTAACCGGCCATCCCTATACAGGATCCAAACCCGTGGCCTTGGTGTTATCAGCACCATATTCTCCCTAGTGAGCCATGGGCGGCCCTCCTAATTATTTCTATAGAACCACCTTTTTGCCTTATGCTCACCTCCTTTCTCTCCCCGTCCCGTGCCTCCTGCCTGTTCTTGCTCTTACACATACACACTCTTCTCTGGAAAATTTTACTCTTTTGCTATCTCAAAAGACAAATGAAGGGATTTATAAGGGTGCAGAGTTGGAAGGAACAGAGCAAAAAAACATTTTTTAAAACTGAGAGAGAAGGTAGAGACAATGGGAAAGGAAGAGAAAGGTCTATTTATCTGTTCATTCATCTGAATATTTAATGAATTCCACCTATGTGCCAAGAACTATGCAAAGAATTGAGAATATGGCATTAAATTAGATGGAGCCCCTGTCCTGAAGGAACTCAGTCTCTGCTGGAGGAGACAGGTAGTACGATATAGTGCAGGTGCTAAGTGCAAGGACAGAGGGGGCCATGTGCTGCGGAACACAGACTTGGGGCACACACTCTTTTGGGTTCTTGAGGGTATTGCTCAGAGATGACTTCCTAGAGGAAGGCCAGTCTGAGCTGGCTCAGGAAGGTATGGGAAGTTTGTAAGTACTATACTCCAGGTAAGAGGTTTTGAGGGCCCAGAAGCAATAAGGTGGAATAGGAAGCAAGAAATTGATGGCTTGATGGTATGGGTATAGAGTTTAGTAGACTGGATGGTGAAACCAAATGAGAAAGGGTTAAGTTAGAGGACTGGCCTTCCACCCACAGATTCAGAGGTAATATTTATATAAAAATAAGTAATATTTATTGCGATCTTACTGCATTGAATGTACATCATGCCTTATTAATCCTCACAACCCCAGAAAGTAGGGCCTTTTATTTGTAGTTTGCAAATGAGGAAACAGGCACAATGTGCTCATGGTCATAGTCCTAGCAAGCTAGGATTGAAACCCAGACAGAATTCCAAAATCACCTTGAAATATTGCTTCCCCTTCTTTGAGTTCACTCTTTCCTCCTGTTTTTCCTTCCTCGAAGCCCTAAGTGGAAGAAAGGTGAGAAATTTGTGTGAGGTCAGGGAATGTATCCCCTTTCTCTTTGTCCCTTATGTCTCAAACCCAGGCCTTCAATATTTCATTTATTCTTGTGACTTACAGGTAATTCAGTCCCAGTTTTGTTAGAGAGATATTGGTTTACTGCCTGCAGGCTCAGCAGTCTTCAGTAAAAAGTTTGCCTGGCCCAACCTGAAGTTGTTGCACTTTTTACACTCTGAACTCTCTTTGGGTGCTGGTGGTGATAGAGGAGGAGTTCATCTTGAGTGATGTGGAAGGCAACAGCAGTCCACAAAGAAAGCACATGCTCTGAGGGAAGTCTCAGTTCTTTTACCTCCAGGTCACATACAGGCAGTTTCACTGTATCATTGAGTTTCTTTCTCATGCGAATGTGTCCGATGAAATCAAATGAAGAAATTCCTTCTCACCAAGGAATGAGGCAGGTACAGAAAGAGTAAACGCCTGTTGAAAGTCAGACCAACTTGGGCTGAGCCCGTGGCGCACTCGGGAGAGTGCGGCGCTGGGAGCGCAGTAGCGCTCCCGCTGCGGGTTCGGATCCTATATAGGGATGGCCCGTGCACTCACTGGCTGAGCACGGTGCAGCCGGTCTCAAAAAGGACAAAAAAAAAAAAAAAAAAAGTCAGGCCAACTTGGCTTCTAGTCCAGGCTCTTCCAGGTGGTGGCTTTTTGACCTTAGGCAGATCATCTGGACTCAGTCTTCTCATCAGTAAGATGGGGATTATATACCTCTCTTGCAGGATTTTGACAGGATAAAACATGTAAAGCTCCTAGCACAGTGCCAATTTATTTTTTATCTTGTAAAACTTAAAGTGACTTTTAAAATATCAAAGTACAATTACAATTACATGTTATATTGTTTCTTATACTTTTTGGTATGCCTGTTACTTTAAATAATTCAAAAGTTAAAAAATAGTCAAGTCGTCACTTAGATTCTTAGCCCTTTTGAAATGTAGCCATTCCATTCCACCTCATTTGAATTATTTCTTCTACAAATTAATTGTCCTTTAAATATGTATTTTCTGATTATCATGACAAACTTCTTTACTTCACTTATCTGTCATGAGCTCCTGAGTAAAGAGGCAAATGTGATATTACAGAAGAAACTCTGGAAAAGGGGGGGTCAACAAAAGCATTATTTCATCCCAGTCAAGGACAGTCCAATTGTTACTTTCAGCAAGTCATATAACTACTTTGGGCATCAGTTTTCTCATCTGTAAGTATTATAAACCTTAACTTTGAGGCTTATTGGAGGATTCTCTTTCAAAAATTTTAAGTGCTCATCAGTATTAGATAGCCAAATGTCATGATGCCTGAGGAAGGCAAAATAGAGTCTCCACAGTAAAAATGAAAAATCCAGTAACATCATTGCCACTGATAAAATGCACTGTGTGATCAGTCCTGTTCAACCAGTTTCTTGAATTGTTTTTAACTAAACAATTTCTAGTTTCTAACTTGAGACTAAATAACAGAAAAATATGCTATTTAATTTAAAAGCTTTCAAACTCCCCCCTCCCCCATTTCTAGACTTAGTTTTGATGTGTTCAGTTTCCTACACCACAGTAGAAAAGTTAAGCTGTGCAAATATACTCCCACAACATACTGAGGCTGAGTGCCACCTAGAGTCAAAGGTGTGACCTGCATTCACATACTACAAGTAGTTTGGCTTAGTTTTTAATTCTCATGCTGTCACTGTTACTTATTCAGTCTTTTGTAGTTAGTGCTGTGTTTCATATCCATTTTATTGTATAATATACCAAAAAAATGAGAGACTCAGTTCTGAACCTCTGTCTTATCTGTTAAGAGCAAACATTAGCTATCTATCTGTGTAGTAGGTGAGGAAAAAAACAATGATTTGGAAATGTTTTTCATTTTATTTTTAAAAAATAAATTTGTGTTTTTTTTTTTTCGTAAAATTATTATTTTGTCAATATACACTGTATATGATTATTATGGCCCATCACCGACACCTCCCTCCCTCCTCCCTCTCTCCCCTCCCCCCCAAGAATGTCCTTTCCGTTTGCTTGTTGTAACAACTTCATGAAAGTATAGTTGTTATATCTTCTTCCCCACCCCACCCCCGGTTTTTTTGTGTGTGTGTGTGTGGGTGTGTGTGTGTGGGGGGGGGGGGGGGTTTGGGGGGGGATTTTTTTTTTTTTTTTTTTTTTTTTTTTTTTTTT